TCCGTCTCCGTCGGCATCATCGGGGTCGTCCATGGCAAATGGATCGGCGTTGGTGGGTTCGGGGGGCGTAGCGAGAAGCGCATCCAGCTCTTCTTCCACCGTCATGGGCTTTTCCTGGCTGGGCTCACTGAGCTTCGAGGAAGACTCAGTCAGGATAGATCGAGATTGGCCATACGTGAACTTGACTCTTCGACTTTTGAGTGCAACGGTAGTGCGGTTTCTGGGTCGTATGGTAGAGTCTTGGGAATGATTTTGGGAGTTGTTTTGTGATTGTTGAGATGGAGTCGCACCTCCACTATCTGTACCGCTATTCAGGGGCAATTGTGATTTGGGCTTCTCTTCTTCGGAAGCCGAGTCTTCCGACCCTGAACTTTCTGCTCGCTGAGCCGCCAACCTGTCAATCAATCGCGGTCGTCGTTTCTTCGGTCTCGGTGATTCGTCATCGCGGTCCTTAGCCGTTGATTGCGCCGCACTTGAGCTGAGTTTTGAGGTTGGGATATCTGATTTGCTTCGAGGGAGGGGTCTAGATCGAACATTCGAACCTTTTGGACTCTTCTTTGAAACTGGTAGTTGGGGGGGAGGAGCGATGGCTTTGGTCTCATTTTCAGAGGCTCCAGCTACAGGTCGCTTTGGTAGTGTAGTCGCAGACTTCATTTGTTTCGGAGCAGTAGGTTTTGTTTCTACTTCAATTGGTTCAGAAGGCGCAGCTTCTATGCGCTTTCTTTTTCTCGTTTCCGTCGCATCGCGTGGTTTTGGTTTCTGATCATCTCCGGCTTTCGCGCGAGCGGGTTCATCGGGTCGCTTCTCAACAACGTGTTTTGGAGTTGGCTCCGATGTCGATCTCGGCAGCGACGGTTTTGATGGCTTCGCGACGGGGGTGGCAGAATCAGGGCGGCTGCTCGGTGCAGTGAACGACTCCGTGGGTTTGAATGGCATCGCGTCGCGCATGAAGCGCTTGCGCACAGGTTTGCCATACGTCATCACCTTGCGCGGGACTGACGCTGTCGAGCTGTTTTGTGACGCCATAGTGTGCTGAAGTTCTATGAGCAGAACGCGACGGTTGGAGTGGTGGGTTTATATCATATAATGAGGTTGTTTGGAAGTTGAAGGGATAAGATAAAACGATACAGATGGTTGTGGAGGTAAGTCGCACCCGTTAGTGGCAGGTTGTTTCAACACGCCGGCAAAGAAAGGGACAAAGAATGCGGCGCCTTATCACGGATGCAGTTGCAAAAGAAAGGACGATAATAGGAAAGCGAGCACAATAGATGAATAATAAAACTGAAGATCTTTCACATTGAATCACTGTCAGGGTGGATGGATTGATCAATGAAACGTTGAAAGGCTAGACTGCGGCTGCAGTGCCGTGTTTAGCATAAAAGCTTGGGTCACATTTCGGCTGTCAATAGAGAGAGCTAAAAACAGAACCACGTTCAATAGAAGAATATTACTCTGTAGTAACAAAGAACAATTAAAGTAAATTAATTGCATATAGTGCCTTTTTGTTAAATGGCTTCTATTGTTCTCATCCCATCTCCATTCTCTATACCATTGGATATCCATTTTCATCTCCACTGTTGCTATCATGAATCCACGCCCATGCCACTGTCATGCAGTGACTAGAGTGAGTGAGTGCGGTCTCCTCCGGTTTTGTGAGTATCGTAGGGTAGGGCCCAGGCGCCGCCGGCCGATTTGCATCCCCGTTTTAAGCATATGCAAGACCAATACGATTGAGCATAGCAAGCGGGCAATGCAGGGCTACCGACTTGTCTTATCCTCGAGAGCTCTAGTTGATGCCGAGCTCTTCTCTCCGCCTTTCATTTCATTCAATCTTATACCTAAACCTCTTTCATTTTGCTCTTCAACCTCTTTCTAGGTTATACCTACGATTGTACTCCGCTCGCCCACTTGGAAATATCTGAGCTTTACTTCAACCCCGCCATCACCGCTGACTTCTTACACCACCTCAAACACTAACAACAGCAGCTAACATGGCGGACAAGACTCAAGATACTCACACGACACCCGTCGGTCCCTCGTACCGCGCTCACCAGCAGAAGCCCAGTGCCACCGTCTCTGTCGATGTCAAGCTAGACAATGTCCATGTTCTATCGCAGACCCCTCAGCTCATTGCCCTACTGTCGTATGTCCACCTCCCTAATTGGGCCACCCAAACCTCGGAGCTGAGAATCGTCCAGGAAAATTCGTAGCAAGGAGACCGAGAGAGCAGACTTCATCTTCTACTCCAACCGAATCATTCGATTGCTAGTTGAGGAGGGTCTCAACCACTTGCCTGTCATTGAGCACACTGTCACTACACCCATTGGCCGAAATTACAATGGTCTCATGTTCCAGGGCAAGATTTGCGGAGTGTCCATCATGAGAGCTGGTGAGGCTATGGAGCAGGGTCTTCGTGACTGCTGCCGCTCTGTTCGTATTGGAAAGATCTTGATCCAGCGTGACGAGGAGACGGCCCAGCCCAAGCTGTTCTACGATAAGCTGCCCGAGGATATTGCTGACCGATGGGTGCTTCTTTTGGATCCTATGTTTGCTACTGGTACGACGATATCCCATTTCACATGTCTTTCGTGTCGCAATCCGTCTAACGCAGATATACAGGTGGCTCTGCTACCATGGCAGTTCAAGTTCTCAAGGCCAGGGGCGTTCCTGAGGAGCACATCCTGTTCCTCAACTTGATTGCAAGCCCTGAGGGTGTCAAGAACTTCTCCGCCAAGTTCCCCCGCTTGAGGGTCGTGACGGCTTTCATCGATGAGGTTTGTCACACCGCCTGCATACACCGTCCCAACGTATTGGCTAACCGGACATTTCTAGGGTCTCGACGAGAAGAAGTATGGAAGCTCAACTCCGATGACACATGAGGTGCTGACCAATCAACAGTTATATCGTTCCTGGCTTGGGAGACTTTGGAGACAGATTTTACACCATCTGAGAAAGGAATCATCGCAAAGGTTATATACCCCGAGTCGTAGGCGCATAGAAAGGGGTCGTCGAGTCATGGGTGTAACAAGTCTTGGTATTGATACAAGGCGCATAAAAGAAGCGATTAATAGTCATCCTCTCCGTAGTGCTCGTCGTCGTCTTCATCGACCGCCGTTCGGTTACCTCGTCCAGCTCCTGCTCGAGATGTGCCAGTATAGCTAGGCTCCGCGTTGTCCTCTTTGGCGACGGCGTCTACAAGTTGTTAGAGATTGTCGATGGAGTCGTAGAAGGGATATTGTAGACTGACCTGCTGCGTCAACCCATTCACCGTAAACGTCAACCGCCGCAGACAGATCTGTCGCAAAGTTAGCACCCGATGCGCCGGAGGCAAAGGAGAGTCCGTGGATGCCGTACAGTTGACCGCGCATTGGAACTTTTGCCCGCAGACACGGCAGTCGAGTTGTCCGACACCCGCCTTCTTGTCGAGCTTGACCGAAACCGAGTTTTCGTGGTTACAGAAGAGGCATGCGAAAGTGGTAGGAAGGGGATCTTTCTGGATTAGTGTGAGCGCAAAAGCCCCAGGGCCCCCCTAAGACAGAGAATACGAAAATGAAATGACAAGGGATCGGCTTGGAAGACGGACCTTCTTGGGCCCCATGGGCTTGCTTGAGGACTTGCGCTTGCCCATGATGTCTGTGAGTTCCGCGATTCGTGCGCGACCGGAACGAGAAGAGACGCGAAACGGGGGAAAAAGATGATAGTGAATTTGCTGATGTCAAGCTTTGGGCTAGACTAGGCAGCCCAGGGCAGTCGCAGGAAACAAGGCGCCAGTCAGGGATGTTTCGTTTGGTTCGTTATCTTATCAGCAAGAGAAACTCTGTTTGTCGCATTGCACGTGCTCACTGTCTAACAAGTGGTTTTGGTCTCTGTTAGTGCGGCAGTTATACGGTAGGGCGTGTTTCTAGTGCATGCATCAAGCGGGGAGACAAGCCCGATTGCCCCGCCCCCGCCTCCCGGCGACCTCCGTGATTCTATATGTGAACGCCGGATTCCGCGAAGGCGATCCTTATCGGACTAGAAGAATGAGGATAAGAGGATAAGCTTGGAGAGCATTGATATCAGGATTGCATGGGTTAATTTAGAGGGTCGCTTGTTCGTTGATGCCGTATCAATGGATGAATGCGTGTTGGGTGTGTAACCATTGACAGACAAAGACAAGTGAGTAAACGAGAAAACAGTCAGAGACATGAGCAAACAACCAACTCAAACAAACCAACCAATGACTAGAGAGACAACCTCACTAAAAACGGAAGCATCTTCCTTGCATATTCTCCTGGCCATCACCTTCTACACCGTCACCTTGTCCTTCACCTTGAGTTTGGACGCTGACGACTAGACGCAGGGGGATTCCCCTCCGATTTGGCGGGGTAGCTCCCCTGGCCTGGCCGGTGGGGATTGAGGCTTGAGACTTTTGAACGTGCCGTCTTATCATGTGGTCTCTTATCAGCGAATCGTGAACTGTCAATTCCATGCTGATAGACGCAGGTCAGTCACTGGCTATCATGACTGCTCCTTGTTGGGAGAGCTCCCCTCTCTTCTCTCATTTACTTGACTTGGTAGCTAGCCCGATTACGGCGGCCCGTTACATGAAAGTTATGATTGTATAGGGGCCTCTCCCGTTGATCTGCTGACCTTGGAAGGTGACACATGAGGTTAGAGTAGCACAGTTAGGGTGATACGGATCTTGATATCTGCAATTTATGTGCTATCTGAAGTCCTTGGAGGTTGGGGATGTGCTACAGCTCCCCCTGTTCATGACGACCCCGTTCTAAGGCATGTGTCACCATGGATGGCTTTCTCCGACCGCTCTTCCTGTTGTTCCGGTCACTCTCCATGTTTTTCTTTTCCTTTCTTTCTGAAAAGTAAACTCTTCTTCTCTTTCTTTTCTTGAACTGTATCATATCGACTCCTCTGCGACACATATCGCAACCTCACATTCGCAACACAGTCTACCCTAGAGATCCGCACTCAACCCCACGGCTACGTCTACCGCCATCATCATGGCGTCTGACGACCAGCAGTCCAGCATGCTGGAAGCTCTACAGGAAATTCAGCGCACGCAGGCTCTTCTAGTGAACGCGGTCGAATCGCTTTCTGGTAGATCAATCGAAGAATCAGGTGGAGATGCTGGCAAGAACACCATCCTTGAGCCAGGTTCTCGTGAAGATGACAATGAGGGTGGAGCGCCTTCAGTAGAAGTTCCTGCTGCCTCTGGAGACAAATTGAAAGCTCCTGCGCTCCCCTCACCCGACCAGCGCCAGCAGCAAGGATTCACATCGCGTATTATTCTGACGTGAGGATTCCTGTGTACAAGCTCCACTAACACCGTTCGCTCACACAAGGTAACTAGGACTTACCCCAAGCAGATTGGAATTAATCCTTTGCCCATGGAATGGGGGAATCAAGACCCCGTTAAGCGTGGCCCTATCGTAGTTTCAAGGGCTGCTTCTACTATTCGACGTCGTAATGGTTCGTCCGTCCGTCCGTCCGTGTCTGTGATGCATGTGTGTTAGTTAGGGTTACTGACTTTCGTAACTTGCGTTTAGCCGTTGGAGGTTTGTTATGTCCCCCTTACTGATGTATCCGTTCGTTAACCGTGTTGTCTAGCCCAGTGAGTTATCAATCACCGTTCACTTCGAGGGAAACTATGCTAAACAAGTGGTTAGTGGTGGTTCGTACTCGATCTACTATGCCCTCGCCGTCGCCAGTAACGAATTGAACGCCGACCACCGGTATGTCCTTTGTATCCAATCCGAAAATCCATAACTAACGGTGCCTTCACAGTCCCGACTTCACCAACACCGAGCCGGCCGCGAACATTGGCCCTTTCCCTCAATGGGGAGACCCCAAGAAGATTGTTGCCATGGACCCCTGGGGACATCTCGCCCCTTGGCTGTTCAAGGACACCATCGAGAAGGACAACGGTATGGATTGTGATACCAACTGATAAAACGGTGTTACTGACGGCTTCATTAGTCGATATTCGACCGACCATTGCCATCACCAAGGCTCATATGAAGGTCAGTGTTTGGATCGACTAGCAGATGAAATAGCTGTCGCTAACCTTCTTATCAGCTTCCTGAACTTGCCGAGAGTGTCAAGGCTGGCAGACTGTAAGTTCGCTCTTCTGTTATTCTCGTAATACAAGCTGACCTTTGTAGGGTACCCGATGGCAAGGTTTGCCTGAATGATCAGGGTGAACTGGCAGTGACCAAGTTTGCTGTTGAACCAGTATGTCCCCAACACAAGCAGTCAAAACAAGTCTAACCTCACCCTCTAGGTCTGGTACCTCCCCGGTGTGGCAGAGCGATTCGGAATCGGTAAGTATACAGTCGTTGCTTAATGTGGTATAACAACTAACATGACAAAGACGAGGCCACCCTACGACGCTCCCTGTTTGAGCACACAGGAGGAAGCTACCCGGAGGTAAGTAAGCTTTGTGCCGGAAGATCTCACTGCTAACACGTTCAAGCTTATCACCCGCGGAGACATTAAAGTATTCCTTCCTCCGATTGGCGGTCTCACTGTGTACTGCTTCGGAGATCCAGCCAAGATGTCGGATGAGTCGGTTCGACTGTCTCTGCGAATCCACGACGAGGTATGATTCCTCGACTTTGTGTAAGACCTCGAACTCACCGTGTTCTGCAGTGCAACGGTAGCGACGTGTTCGGATCTGATATCTGTACTTGCCGTCCTTACTTGATCTTTGGTATCGAGGAAGCTGTCAAAGAGGCTCAGAATGGTGGCAGTGGTGTTGTCATCTACTTCAGAAAGGAAGGCCGTGCGTTGGGAGAGGTCACCAAGGTAAGCGTTGCCTGATCACAACTCACAGAAGCAAATCTAACTATTTTCCCAGTATTGTAAGGAAGAAATCCCTCAAGATTCGGAGAAGCAGCCGTCGCGCAGATCTGGGGTACTAATTCTGGGGTAGTGGTCTACAATGCCCGTAAACGCGGAGCCGATCGCGCATCAGACTATTTCAAGAGGACCGAGAACATTGCAGGTGTCAAGGACATGCGATTCCAGGCTCTCATGCCGGATATCCTGCACTGGCTGGGCATCAAGAAGATTGACAGGATGCTTAGCATGAGCAAGTGAGCGCCTGAGAGTCGAACACGTTGAGGAATTGACAGCTGACATATCTCTAGCATGAAGCATGATGCGATTGTCGGACAAGGGTAAGCTGATGATGAGCCGGTCTTGTTAATTTTTGATGCGAGATTAACATGATTTCAGAATCCCTATCCATGAGAGGGTCGAGCTTCCAGAAGAACTGATACCCGCTGACTCGCGAGTCGAAATTGACGCCAAGATTACAGCTGGTAAGTGAAATGAGAGCCGGCAGACGAGATGAGGCCCCAGCTCTATAATCAAGGCGGACACTAACGGAGATGAAGGCTATTTTACCACTGGCAAACGTATGACTACCGAAGAGCTCCAGGCGGTCCAGGGAAGAATATGGGAAGAGTGAGTGCTATCCAATCCGACTGTTGGGAGCAAAGACTGATGATTGTGGCAGCTTCGATCATTAAACGAAACCGGATAGATACGGGCTCGAGCTGTATGTACATACAGCAGGGTCGTGGCGTATAGGCCCGCGGGGTGCGTCAGCAGCTTCCCAAGTTTGCAGGTTACTGCAGGTCGGTCTGAGCCGTTTTGCGTGGGGGAAGGATGATGATTGCTCAGAATCCATACGATGGCGACGATGCCACGGTACCATTCATCCGTGGTGTTGGGGCTGAGTGTCCCGAACGAGGTACCCGGTCAAGGTGGCAGGTCATACAGGGCAGTTGATGGGTTGGATAGAGTGAGAAAAGACCGTTGGGAGCATCCGTTTTCGAGTTTAAGCGCGTCTAGGAGGGAGTTGCTAGCAAGGTTGTGCATGCTGTAGAGGTTGCGAGATTTGAAGATGTAGAGTGACTGACACCGGATAGTGAGTGGAACTCGGAATGGAAGCCTACCCTACCCTACTAACGTTAGTAAGGGGATGATGGGCCAGGATAGATAGTACCGAATGAATTGAATATCCACCTTTCGAGGCCTGTCCGTAGGTTGTTCCTAATGGAATCGGTGAGGCGGTCACAAGTCACAAGGACCGTTTTTAATGAGTTGTAATTGCATATTTTTCTGACTCCGACACCGTATCCGACTAAAGGAGCATTTACCGAACACCGATACAACCTTAACCTTGCACGGTACAGTATGATAAGGCACCCATGTATGATTGTATGTGTGAGAATGGAGCCGCTTCTGTCTATGTCTGTACACGTGTAGAGCACGTCTTGTGGTCACGAGCATGAGCATGAGCCACGGGCAAGGGGTCGGGTCAGTCAAATGCGATGTGAGGCACGGGACGGAAGAGATTAATACCCAAGGTACCATAGATAACTCAGTCGCCTTGAACTGAATTGACTCTGTTGCTACCAAAAGAAAACCTCCGAAGGTTGCTTACCCCGGCCCGAGAAGACGATCAACGATCCATCACCATGCTATGCTATGCTATGCTGCCATGCCGTGCCATGCCATGCAGTTCCATGTTGTGCCATTGTTTATTGCCGAACTGGGTGGATTAATTGCCCCAGGTGATTAACGTGTACATCAATGATCTTGGCCATGGTTCATTCATGTTCATCAGGTACGAGGCCATCCATAGGTGATGGTCAAGGTAATGATTGTCTAACAGAATGCTCATCACGGTGAACGATTTTCCGTTTCTAAATGGCATCGCATCACACACCCATCATTCTGCTTGCTTGTAACCCAACCCACATCCAAAGATCCAGCCCCCATCCAGAAACGCTCTCGACTATACACCATCAAAAGGGAGACTGATACGCTAGAGAGCCTTGGCCTAACGGATGGCTTTTCGTTCTAGTCAACTTAGTATCCAAGCGAGGGTTGGTAAATAGTGTCATGGACGCGTATTTTCGATCATATAGAGTTCACTCAGATGCAATGCCAATCCTCAAGCTTGATCCCATTCCAAGGAAAACAAACAATACAGCGTTTCGTCTTCCTAAGCGGTATGCATCTTGACGACCTGTTGGGTAGCAATGCGACAGTAGCTCCGACAGGTATTCCCATAATTTTGCCTTACCGCCAGAAATGCCCTAGGTCTACCCATTCCACTATCCACGTTCCGCCGGGCCCGAATAGACGAGTGCCTCAGCAGGGCGAGTCATCACTGGTTTTACAGGCTTGGAGACCCCCGCATATGCCTGCACGGGAAACCCGCCTGCAGTCCCCGGGGCCCGCGTCCCTAGCCAAAAAGGCCCAGGGGGACAAAGACCAGGATTCTGGGCCATACACCAGGAGACACGCACCAAAACCAGCGAGTGGGAAGATGGGTTGGTGTTGGCAACCAGATGCAGCGATGAGCCGACAAGTGGCAAGCAGACGGAAAAAAAAAGACTCTTTTACTATTCTGAGAGTCTGAGCCTGGTCTGGTACCTGGACTGCGGCCTTTTTCGATCACGAATCGAGGACCCCATCGTTGCGTGATGCCAAAGAGTCTAACCTCTGAATGGCCGAATACTGCGCGTAGCGAGAGGCTCCCTGTACAAGATCGTGATGGTACCTGTACCGAGAGAGAGAGGCTCGGAGAGGGAGCGGTACCCATGTCGGCCAACTCCAAAGCTTGTTGTTACTGTAATGATGACTTGCTGTGCAGCGAAGCGCACACGCACGCACACGTCCCCAATGCAATGGCACCCTTGTTTATTACCTTACTTAGCTTACCCGCCTGGTCTAACCGCAGCCGTGGTAGCTCTACCACATGTACACGAGGAGGTGGTTGATGTGTGTGGATGGGGATGTGGATGCCTTGATATTTGTCTCTATGTACATACATATTCGAGCTACTGCCAGCTCTTCCCATCCATCCAAAATCTCTTTCACTTTCTTGTTATTCTTCTCAAATGTGAAACCATCTTTCCAACCTACCTATTTTAATGTACATACAACTTTCTGCCTTCAGCAATCAACACATCTGATATACACAATGGCCTCTTACATACGAGACAGTCGAAGTTCGGTGAGGGCTCATAGGCGAGACTCGTCGTCATCATCATCCTCAAACACAAACTCCAACCGCACAAGACCACGACTTCTTCGCTCTAGTGCAACAGAACCTTCAATTACTGCTTCAAATGCCATCAGAGGTTCATTCGCTGGCCCTGGTTCACCACATAGAGCAACTGATCTCCTCAACCGTGTTGCCGTCTACTCGCCATCTCCAGAAGCCTCGACTCCAGGTTCAGTCTCACGCCACGCCGAGCCCATCTCAATCTGCCGTGATGACCGAGAGCATTCGCCCTCCAGCAGCCCAGGAAGCCAATCCGTCGTGATGGTCGACTCACCATCTGGTACGTCTAACATCAACGTCTGTACACCAGTTGATACTAACATCAATCAAGGTTATTACTTTAGCTTTCCTAGCTTTGAGGAATGGAACAGGGACAGCCAAGAGGATATGAACAAGGACTCAGATGACTGAGTTGCGAAGGGAAAGAGGGTGAGAGGAACCAAATGGCCTCGAACCGAAAAAGGAAAACAACATTACTACGACAGAGCGACATCAATAGTCGCTCATCCAGCACGGCCACACTCTCAACGAGATAGCAGAGGCCTGCGCTGGCGGCTCAAAGAGGAGCAAGTGACAGCGAGGCCATTGGAACCAAGGGATTAGAAACGCATCATCGGCCAACAACCACAGACACAAACGAACCGGGCTTTTGCCAATATGAGACTGGAATAAATGAGGCTGTGGCTGGCTGATTGCGCCCTAGGACTAGGCTGGGTGGATAAAGGTGAAAGGCTTCTTGGTAGAAGAGAAGCGGACACTGAAAACGAGCTGTACACGATAAATGAATGAATAAGGAATAGCTGCACCTTTTAGAAAGGTGGAGTGGAAGGGGGACCAACAACAGAACAGAACGGTCTGGGTGAATCTCAGGACCCATTCATTGACAGAAAGCAAGACGCTCAGATCCATCCAGTTGGACGAGCTCAGCTAAAACACAAAGAAAACAGAGAAAAATTATATACATCTATCTCCCTGAAACATACCATAATTCATAAGTTGTAATAAATCTTGGTTATCAAATGTGATGAAACAGCATAACCTATGACATACTTTGGCTGTCGGTTCCTTGAATAGAGACTCAGATGACAGCATCCATCGTAAGCAGAGGGTCTTGGTAGGACAAGAGTTGTCCGTCCATGCGGGCCAAGGTAGACCTCAGGAGGCAAGAAAATAGCGAACCTAGCCATAAGGTAACAAAATAAACTTGGCAAAAGTGATCCTAATCTTAGGCTATGTTACCTAAGTCTTTTTGTTACCTAGGATTGAGGACCTGTATTTTCTTTCCTCCCTAGGTAGACTCGAAAAGAGACTATTGTGGCTGTGGCTGGCTGGGCTGTGGCTAGCTTCAAGTACGTGCCCTCGAGCAGGGAAATTTCAAACTGAAGGCACGTGATGTGGTCGTTCTTGCCCTCCGATCCATTATTTTTCGATCCCACAAAGCTTTAGCGCCGGAAGAACAATTGGACCGCGACTTTTCGATCAATCCGTCGCTTAGACCTAAGCTGCTGCACACAAAGATTGAAATTATTTCGCCCCTCCAACCACTCTCTCACCAGTACCATCTCTCCAACGGTTCACACACAAGCCAGCAAACATGGCGGTTGGAAAGTGAGCATCACCCACGACGACAAGCTTGCGATGAATACAATGGGCTTACGCGTTATTTCAGGAACAAGAGACTCTCCAAGGGCAAGAAGGGCCTCAAGAAGAAGACGGTCGACCCCTTCTCCCGAAAGGACTGGTACTCAATCAAGGTTGGTTATCTCGAAACGCGCACGACATCAACTCCTGGCTAACTCGTTTTTCAAGGCCCCTAACCCCTTCAACGTTCGAGAGTGAGTGACGACCGCGCGACGAATCTGCAAAAAAAGTTTGTGGGATATGGGAGATTAACAAATTTTGCAGTGTCGGCAAGACCCTCGTGAACCGAACCACCGGTCTCAAGAACGCCAACGACGCTCTCAAGGGCCGTATCCTCGAGGTCTCTCTCGCCGATCTCCAGAAGGATGAGGACCACTCTTTCCGCAAGGTCCGCCTCCGTGTCGACGAGGTCCAGGGCAAGAACTGCTTGACTGCTTTCCACGGCCTCGACTTCACCTCCGACAAGCTCCGATCCCTGGTGCGAAAGTGGCAGACCCTCATTGAGGCCAACGTCACTGTCAAGACTACCGACGACTACCTCATCCGCCTCTTCGCCATCGCTTTCACCAAGCGACGACCCAACCAGGTCAAGAAGACCACCTACGCTGCCTCTTCTCAGATTCGGGCTATCCGACGCAAGATGACCGACATCATCCAGCGTGAGGCCTCAAGCTGCACCCTCACCCAGCTTACCTCCAAGCTCATTCCCGAGGTCATTGGCCGCGAGATTGAGAAGTCCACTCAGGGCATCTACCCTCTCCAGAACGTGAGTAGAATAATTGTCCTCGGTCACGCATGAATCTGAAG